AGCCAATGGGATAGCGGCGGCTCCGGAGCCGGCTGTAAGCGCCCTTGTGATTGGTCGCGGGCAGCCGACAGGCAAGCGCTCCGCTGATTGGAAGGGAGGGAGGCGGGAAGGATAGTGCCCTCAGCGGTGTGAGGGGGAGCCGCTGACGTCAGGCTTTCGAGCGATGATGTCAGACTGAACGGTGACGTCACGGTGAGGGTTGTCCTGCTGATTTCACACCTGGCTTCATCCCGGGCGCGGTGGCGTCACACCGCAGCTGGAGCGCGGTTGTGACCTGTTCTGTGCGGCCGCAGGCACGAGTGCCCTCGATAGACTGGGGCCTCTGAGAGTGTCAGGGAAGTGCGATATTTGCCAAAGTCCCGAGCTGAACCCCCGCTGTTACATTGCTGCCGTTAACCTCTCTCGTCATCGTATTTGCCCCCTTTTTAAATGGACTGAAAGATGGAGTTTCCAGCTCTGTATAACTCAGGTGGGTGTGAGGCCACAGCTATGTTGATAAACCTGTTAAGAGGAGATGAGACCATAGTCTTGCAGCACATTTTTAAAACAGGCTTACAAATTATTTTCATTTCTACAAATCAGTTTACAAATCCCTCGATGGTCTTTTAAGTGAAAACCACTGTGTCAGTGTGACATATTTCCAATTCTGTTAGAGAATTGTGATTTCTCTCGTGCATTTCCCCAGTGCCCATTACACGCAGGGAAATCAGATTATCAGGGAATAGTTTTCTTTATCCCTGAGCTGCAGGATCAGCCTGTGAGGAGCAGTGCTGAACTGGCTGCAGGTGATCCAATGGAACATCAGCTGGGATTGCTCAGCTCAGGTGCACACAAAAGGGGTGGTTTCAAGTTTCAGATGGAAACTGCACTTGCAGCATTTTCATTTTGAGGTGCTGCCTGAAGATTTTGTTTTTGTTTCTCCAAAAAGTTGTTGTATCAATTATGTGCCACACTGGGGAAATTGTGGATGGGTTTGATGTTTTAAACATGGAAGGTACCATTATTTATGCTTGGAATTATTGCTTTTTCTGTCTCTAGTGGAAATGGTAACTTAATGTTTGTCTTTGTAGTCTTGCCATAAAGAAAAGTTTCTTCTTACTTTTAAGAATGGTTTTATCTCTTTGTGTTTAGAGAGAGATGCTTTGAGGAGATGGAGTAAAACCAAAATTTCTTGTTTAGTTTAAAACCTCTCCTGGCAATTTCTAGTGCTCTGTTTCTACTTCTTATGTTTCCAGAAACATGTATTGAGAGCTTATTTTAAGTAATCTAAAAGGAACTGGATTTAGACTTTACTTGTTCTTAATTCTGGGTGGGGTTTGTTTGGGTTTTTGTTGTTGATTGTTTGGGAATTTTTGTTGTTGCTGTTTAATAAATTAATAGGATGGTGGTAGTATTACCATTTTTTATTATTGCTGCTTTTAAATAACAGTATATTATTTGAGTGGTATACCTTCAGTTTTACTTTCTCCTCTTCCTCTAGCTGAAGTTGAGGAAAAATAGAATGGTAGAACACTTGCACAGACTTTCTTTTTAACAAGATAACAAGCTAAACCAAGATACTGGCTTTGTTTTCCTCTATTCCAGGTGTTCCTGCTAAAGAGAAAATGACTTGCAGGGGATTAGAATAACAACAAGGTAAGTGTGAGATGTAGAATTTGCTTTAAGTACAGCTGCTCTTGGAACCATTTTTGGGTAGGAGGATGAAAGTAACACAGTTACCTATCTGCTGATTTCTCACTTTTCCGTGTCTTGCTTACACTGAGTCTTAAACCTGAAACTCCCTGAGGAGAACACAAGAAACCAAAGTGTGACCTTAGCACTACCTGACAACTGTGGCATCTTTTGACTTTTTATAGCCAGAATTTCTTGTTTTATTTGAATATTCCACTTAGGACTAATGGATCCAGGTGTCAGCCCTCAATCCATGTGGGCAGTTTTAGCATTGCCATTTGACTCTTGCAATACTTTTAACTCCTTTCATTTGCTTGATTCATTTGCTTCCTACTCTTACCATTACTTTAATTTCTCACTGGCAAGTTAAAACCAGGGCCCTTAATGTCTGTTCTGGCTTTAGCAGTATCTTGTTTGACTTAAGAGTAAAACCACTGGAATAACAGGGAATTTGTGCCTTTATTCATTTGGGTGCACACATTGTGGAAGGGGGGAGCTCTTTAGCATAATTTAGCATTGAGGATAACAATTTATGTGTGGATTTGGACAGTTCTTAGTGCTGCTAATGGTGTGTTTATTCTAAATGCTAGCAAGACTTCTGTAACTCCAATGCAAGTGGTGTTTCTGTCCCTTGTCACAATGGAGGTGGATGTGAATGTATTTTGTATTCTGATTCTCACAACAATGAGTAAAACAAAACTGAAATGGGTGACTGAATCAGACGAGGTACCAGCAGTTCCTAAAGTATGAGGTACTGACATGCAAATGGCACTTCGGTGAAAACTTGTTCTAACAAAACCGCAACTTGATCCAGACCTGAGAGTTGGTTAGGAGAGGAGTGATCCGGGTTTTGGGCAAATGTCAAGAATTTCCTCATTTGCTGGTAGAGGGAAAGGAAATCCCGCGCGTCAGGGCTGACCTCGGAGCTGTGAGGGGGTTTTAGTCTGTGCTTGTATTGCGTCCTGTAAAAGAGAGGGAAAGGGAACGAGGCAGCGGGCGATGGAGCCGAGGCAGGGA